TATTCATCTTACAGTCTTTCTCTCTTACCCCCCCCCCCCCCATTCTCTCTCTCTCTCTCTCTCTCTCTCTCTCTCTCTCTCTCTCTCTCTCTCTCTCTCTCTCTCTCTCTCTCTCTCTCCCCTTTCCCTTTCTCTCGCGCACCTCCCCTTTTTCCCCCTCGCTCCCTCTCTGGATGAATCTCGCAATCTGAACAAGAATAGTTTTATAGTAATCCACTGCTGCATTCTGTAATGCTAAAGAGCAAACTGCACCGTGTGCTATTCTGCACTTTCTGACCAAGTGGAACAAAAAACAACAGCCTTGACAGTTTCGAAAAGCCACTGAGAGAGAAATGGTAATGGCCTCCGAAAAGCCTCATATTTCTTGAGGCGGTGTTGCTATTATTGAATGATGAATGAACATAGATCTAGTACCATCAGATACAAATTGAGTTGTCTTGAGAGGTAGAGCAACTAGCAGCATTACGAGCCTGGCATGCGGGCACAGATGGGGATGTAAAAGGCTCAGGAAAAGAGAGAAAGAGCGCCCTGTTAGGTAAGTTAGTATCATATCATGCTAGACTATGGTTTGGAAAGCCCTGGTTGGAATCTCCAACGGCGTGTTTTTAAAGTAAAGTTGTTAATTGTAACTCATTGAAGTCTTGCAGTTTTGCGGTATTTTGAAAAATAGAATCTTAACCTCGTTATTCATGCCATTTTTTTTCAAATCTGTTTTTATTAATATATATTATCTAAAACATAAAAAATCAGGGGGGCTCTCGTGGCCTAGAGGTAAAGGTGTTGGCCTCTCATTCAAAGGTTCGGGGTTCGAATCTGGATAGCGACCGAAAAATTTTCCTCTTTAATATTGTCTCATTTCACCTCCTTTTCTGCTCTCTAGCAATGTCCTGTCGTTTGCTTTCGTCTCTACTTTCTGCCACAACCCCTCACCTCCTTTGCCCCCTCCTTTGGGCCTGACTCTTTTTGCAGCCTTTCTACTGCTACTCCTTGGCTCCTACTTACTTCTGTCTTTTAGTCTCACCCCTGATCTTCTGGTAGATCTAGGAAAGATCTACACCTAGTCATCTCCTGTGTGTCATGTGCGCTCATATGACCTTATGCAACTGCGAGCGCCGTAAAACACTTACAAAAAGTAAATAAATAAATAAAAAGCCAGGCAACAATTTGTGTACTGTAAAATATTCATCTTTGTGTTACTTATTTATTGTGTATGAAGGTTCAAAATGTGCCGTAACGTTGCCTTTAGTCTGCTGCTGGTAAAACATATTATGTGTCCGTTTCGTCGTTAATGAGTCAGTAGTAGTTTCGATGACTCTCCATCTAGGCTTACTTGGTTCGGTCTCAAAAGAGAGTGAAGACAAATTCAAAGACCCAGTCTTTTATAACATTAAGCTTTCTGCGTTGAAATGGCTTACTTCACACGTCACACACACGTGTGTGCGCGCGCATATACCCCCCACCCACCACACACACACATGCAGAGAGAGAGAGAGAGA